GTCAAAAGATCACAAATCGTATCTAGTCGAAGACATTACCCTTAAAAATTGAAAAAAATTCCCTCGTTCCCCGTAAAAGGGGGAAACCTCCAAAAAAATTACAAATTTAAAAATCGCTAATTTTCAAAATTTTTTCAATTTTTTTTACTTAAAAGTGCCATAACTTTTTCAAAAATGAACGTCTCAATATAAATCTTTTTTATATAGATGCATANAACATATCAATATAATTCTTTTTTATATAGATGCATAATATCATTACCTTTCATTTGGTATATTTTTTTCATAAATTTAACCCTTAACCTGCCCACAATGGGGGAATTTAAAATGACAACTTTTTCACAAAAATTAATTTTTTTAACTTAAATTTTGAAAATGTTCCGGAAGGTCTGACACTTTTATATATATCTTAAATTAAAGCTAATGTAATATGCTTTATCATGAAAAAAAAAAATTTCGGACTTTATCTTATCTTCATGGTGAAAATGGCTACCGAATGCTATTTTTGTGTGAAAATTTTCGATTTTGTATTTTCCATTTTTAACTTTATTATGCTATAACTTTTTGAAAAATGTATGAATCATTACAATTTTTTTATGAGAAGTAGTATTTATATAGATCTTTCATTCGACATACTGTTTTTTTAAATCGGACCATTTCCCTAAATACAGGGGGGATTCAAAACATAAAAATGCATATAGAAAGTAGAACTTTTTCAACGTAACTTTTGAAAGTGTTCCGGAAGGTCTGACACTTTTATATATATCTTAAATTAAAGCTAATGTAATATACTTTATAATGGTAAAAAAAAATTTCGGACTTTATTTTATCTTCATGGTGAAAACAGACATTAAACTTAATAAAAAAAATACGATTTTTGTAAAAAAATTCTTTTTTATATTTTTAACTTTATAATGCTATAACTTCTCGAAAGATGTATGGATCAATATAATTCTTTTTTTTGTAGATGCATGATGTCTTTACCTATCATTTGGTATATTTTTTTTATAAATCTGACTTTTTACCTGCCTACAGGGGGGGATTCAAAATGACAACTTTTTCACAAAAAATTGACTTTTTCAACTTAAATTTTGAAAGTGTTCCGGTAAGTCTGACACTTTTATATATATCTTAAATTAAAGCTAATGTAATATACTGTATCATGGAAAAAAAAATTGACCTCTGGACTTGTCTTCACGGCGTGAAAACAGACATTAAACTTAATAAAAAAAATACGATTTTTGTAAAAAAATTCTTTTTTATATTTTTAACTTTATAATGCTATAACTTCTCGAAAGATGTATGGATCAATATAATTCTTTTTTTTGTAGATGCATGATGTCTTTACCTATCATTTGGTATATTTTTTTTATAAATCTGACTTTTTACCTGCCTACAGGGGGGGATTCAAAATGACAACTTTTTCACAAAAAATTGACTTTTTCAACTTAAATTTTGAAAGTGTTCCGGAAAGTCTGACACTTTTATATATATCTTAAATTAAAGCTAATGTAATATACTTTATCATGGAAAAAAAAAATTTCGGACTTTATTTTATCTTCAAGGTGAAAATGGCTACCAAATGCTATTATTGTGTGAAAATTCTCAATTTTATTTTTTACATTTTTAACATTATAATGCTATAACTTATTGAAAAGTGTATTGATCAATATAATTTTTTTATGGGAAATACTATTTTCTAATAATCTCTTTTTTATTCTACATACTTTGTCTTAATCAGGATATTAATAAGGAACTAGCAGTTTATGAAGCTTTTGGAATAATCCACCAATTTTTTAAAATTAAACACTATCTAAAGATTTGCATCGAAGCGTTTTTTTTTTATAGTGATTTTAATCACTGTCAGATATCATTATACTTGATCCAACTATGCCACGTCACCACTGTGCCGCGACCCCCCTGTGCTGGGTTTTTTTTGTGATATTAATATTATTAAATTTCTATGCATCATATAAAAACTTTATTCATACCTCTTATAAATGGTATAACTTTTCCTAAAATTGGTCGTTTTTCTGAGGATAATTGTACAGTTGAACATTCATATGGTTTCAGAAGTGTAACAAAATCATTTATAACTTTACGCTGTTCATTTGTTGGCATATTAAGACAACGTGGTAAAGACATGGAAACTAGCATTAAAGGTTCTTTAATCATTAAAAGACGTTTTAACATAATAAGTGTACTGTTCCAGCGAGTTGCGATGTCTTGTTTTACTTTTAAAATAAGACAGTTAAGTTGTTCTTTTTTATCGCGAAAAAGTCTACTCGATACTTCGCTATGTTTGAAATGTCCAACAATAGATCGACACATTTTTATTAGTTTCTTAACTTCTATTTCATCGGAACGAGAAGCTGTAGTAGTGTCATTATTAAAATCATCATTATCTTCGCTTTTTAAAGCATTTTTTACGACATTGTTTAATTTATGAGCAGCGCACGGAATATGATTAAACCCAAGTAATCTAATTGTAGGCTTTATATTCGCACCAGAGTCTGTTACAATCGCAATGGCTTTTACATCGATAGCCCAATCACTTATGATATCTGTTAAAATTTCAGACAAATATTGTACTGTATGACTAGATATTAGTTTTATTGTAGCTAAAACATAAAAGAAATTATAAAAAAGAAATTATAAAAAATTATAAAAGAAATAGTATTTATAGAAGTCTAAATATCTGAAGTAAGCGTGACATATTTTGTAGATGATAACATAGATTGAACCATTTCAGGTGTAGAGTTATAAAGTTTAGGTATGAGTGTTGTTGCTATTATTGGATACGCATTATGAGAGGGAGTTTTGCTACATCTTATTTTTATGACTGATAACGTGTCTCGCGCTACCACCACCGGTTGTGTGAGCGATTCATTATGTTAGATGCGAGTGTACGTGATTATTGTGTCTCGCCGACTATTATCGGTCCCTTTTGTGAATTTTGCGCTCTCGCCACCATTGCTAGCCCTTTCTACGTGGTTCTATGGTGCACCTAGCTCATAGTCGCTTTAATGGATTAACCACCCTGGTGATTCGTCGTGGGTATAGAATTGCTATACCAGTCTATGCCATTGTGTGCCCTTCGTGTACATAACAAGTGCCTCCGTTTGTATCGACTACCCTTGTAGTCTTCAACATTTTAATGTAAAGTATTCCAACTGTTTATTTCTCACCGTCATCAGTCATCTTTCATCTATTGTACGTTACACAGTTAAGTTTTTATTTGTTTATAATTATTATATTATATTTTATCTATTTTGTTCAGAGATGCCTTGTTGGCCATTTTAGTATTAACTATTTTCTACAATCGATAACGGGCGTGTCTTCTGCAATCATTTTGATAACAGCTTTATTAAATTCATCAACTTTGCTCTTTGATGATAAGCTGAACCTATAAATCAATATAATTTTTTTACCTTTTACTTAAAAGTAATTTTACATAATAACTTGTATAAATAACACTATTACCTATTTGTTAGTATTCATTGTTTTGATCTTCTTTGTTGAGTTCCTTAGGTTTGTTTAGTTATTTGTTCACGCATATTTACATTCATAGTTAAAGAACCTTAAGAACACATTTAATAAATAAATACATTTTTTTTTAAATTTATCTATTTAGTGGTATTTTTATAATATATTAATAAAAAAAATATTCAATGAGAATTATATTGGAAAACTCGTTTAGAAAAGATACGGAAATAGTCAATAATAATCGCATTGCCTTAGTATGATATTAAATAATTATTAGATTAATTAGTGTTATTAAAAATGTTAATTTACTTGTTGAGGGCGATGACTGTTTGTTAGAAACATTAATATCATTCCGTTCTTCATTTTGAGACGATAATCTATTTGCTTCCAACGCTGTAATATGTTTACGGCGTAAATGATCCCAAACATTTGATGTATTATTAGCATATTTTATTTTAAATTTACAGAATTTACATATAACTTGATTAGAAAAGTTGGGATCCTTATCCACAAAATTCCATACGTTCGATCTATTTTTTTTGTTCATTTTATAGAGAAAATAAATTTTACACTAAACTGTTTGGTACAACAACATTTTTAAAATGTTCAATAATTAACCAACTAATAAAAATAGTTTATATGATTTTTAAAGAGGAACAGTATTTATTGTTGCCACCACTTTTACAATCATAAAAATTTTAAATGCGCTGTCCTCTTTATCGGTGTTATGCCTTTACAAGACAAAAGAGGAGGTAATGCTAAACTAAGAACAGTATACAAGGTATAAAGTGTAAAATAAGACTTTAGTATTTACGAATACTTCTGTTGCACATAGAACAAACCTTTCCGATTAAAACAGAAAATATATCTTTAGTCATCGAAATAAAGAACTACTTTTTAATTTTCGACCCATTTTTATCAGTTTTTACCAAAGACTCACAAACTAAAAATGAATAAAATGGTACTTTTTACTATTATTAATTGTATAATAATTTATGTTAAGTATTCATTATCTTCTTATTATAATTAAGTGTACTTAATAAAAATTTTAGTTAGAACTAATCGATTATTTTTTGAAACCACTCGCTAGCCCATTCGAATATTTTTTAAAACTATCGAATAGTTTATGCTTAAAACACACTATTCAGTTGTATAAAAATAATTGGAATACTATTCGATAGTTCAAACTATTGTGAAATGCCCATCACTAATTATAATGTTCATATGCATAAGTATTTTATGAGAATAATTGCGGTGCCGTCTGCGTTATATTAAAATCAAAGCTATCATTATCTAAAAATTTTATCATTGGCTACCAAACGCTTAGGTAATCATATTTCCAACATCATAGATGTCACCATATATTAATTATCACTGTCGTATGAATTTTATGAGAAAAATGGAAATTTGAAAACTAAAAATTTATCATTTTAATATTTTACACGTGAAAATAAAAATCATGAATCAGCAATAATCTTCAACATAAAATATGTAGATTTTTACAATTATTAATATTCTTTATTAAAATATACTTTTATATTTTTTAAATTTTAAAATAATAAAGTAAATCCAATAATGAATTGTATTAGGTCAATAGTATCTCTTAAATTTTACTACCCCTAGAAATAGTCAAGGACACATGTGGTGGCAGCGGCCGCTACTTAACATACACTACTCAATGTAATGTGTACGTATTATATTGTAATGTTGCAGAATTTAATTAGTTTTTTTTAATAAATGTTATCAATGAGAGGTGTGTGCAAAAGGTGTAAAGTATTTTAATAATTGTGTATGTGATAACCTTCACTAGTCAACCGGTCTGATATCTGTCATCAGGTGACCGTACACTGTGCACCTGTACCAATATTGTTATGTCCCCTCAATGAACGTGTTCAAAGTTGGCACCACCACCACCCGGCGTCACAATCACCGGCCACTATCCAAATGCCGCGACGACAGATTTTTTTTCTCACCTATACTGCCAAGGCGACAAGTCGTGTTTTCTTTATATAATTTTTATTTTGAAAACCACGTTTTTTTTGTATTTTTTTTTGTCCTCCGTTTTTTTTTTTATTAAAATAAAATGTCGAGTGGATCTGCTGTCGACTTGTATCAACCGGCTGTTCATATTTTTTTTGTCCTCCGTTTTTTTTATTTAAACAAAACGTCGAGATGATGATGCTAATGATGATGACGTTGTGAGACACAACTATGGCCGGTGGTGGGCCGGCACTCCTCAAGATTAAAGACAACAACAAGTACAACATCAATAAAACCCCTTTTTACCCCCTTTTTAATTTGTGTATCAAGCACCTCCTTTTTTTTTTCTCCTTTCATATGAATATATTTATATCTAAAATAGTAATTATAAATTTTTTAATTAAATAATTAAAAAATGTTGTTATATTATACATGACCCTTTTTTTTTTTCTCTATACTTTTCCCTCATTTTTATTAATATTGGTTTTTTTTTTGTTTTTATCAAAACCTAGTAGCTCCGTCAACAAGTACTATCTCGTTTGGCGCGGCTACTAGGTCAATGTCTAGTGTTCCCCCTGAGCAGTGGGTAATTAGTAGGCTTCTGTTAGGCTGAAACCTTACAATATTAAACGTAATATTTGTAATGTATATTACCCTCTCCACTAGACAATAGGCTAGTCTACCCTATCCTTCAATAGATAGCGCCGTACATAACAGCAATTTTGAATAATTTCGAGGAACCGGGCGCATTCTTAACGGAGCTCATGCCCGGCGGCGCGTTCCTCGGCGAGCAGGTCGGCGAGCTGCAGTGACGACAGGATACCCGCCGCCACTCCGGACACCGTTCGGTACGCCGAAACTGTCCGGATCGCCACCCGCCTCTGCAACCTGAGAAGGGCTTTACGGTTTTTGGATCCTCGGTCCTACAGGAGGACCGAGTGTACAACGCTGACTAAAAGTCTGCGTTGCATCTCCCTCGGCCTTCCCAGATTGGGCATGAGTCCCGCTAAGCAATCCATGACTTTCTGGGCCTGCTGGGCCGCACGAGTAATGTACGACACGAACTTTGGACGTTTGTCTATGACAAGGTCCAGATAAGTCATGGAGTCCTTAAGCGGGATCTCCACCCCTAGCAGAGCGAGCTGTGAAGGAGTTAACTTGTACTTGCCCGTGAACAAAACCGCTTCGGTCTTGTCCAGAGCAAGGCTCAGTCCACTCAAGTCTCCTCCTGCTGGATCCAGGCGGCGACTGTGCTGAACGCGCAGTTCACACGAGATCCAGCCTCCTCGGACGAGGCGCCTTCCGCCATCACAAGCTAGTCATCCGTGTAGCAGACGGGGCTCACATGTGGTGGTAGCGGAACGCGGAACACCGCGTCGTACGCGATATTTCCCAGCAGAGGCCTGAGAACTGTCCCTTGTGGGACGTCGCCCGTACCAAGAACCTGATAGGACAGCGCAGTGCTTCACCTGCCATAAGAAAGGGCACATTGCCCGCGACTGCCGGGTGAAGAAATGAAAAATGTTATTCTTTTTAGTCTTAGGTATTATTGTAGGCCGAATGGCTAAAACTGGGGAGGTAGAGCTCGAACCGAAATTCCAAAAGTTGACACAACTATGGCCTATATGGATTTGCAACTATGATATCATGATATGATAAATACCTTAGGTATTTATCACATAATATATTTTTGTGAACATATGACCCTTTACCTGCCACAGGGGAGGTTTCAAAATAGCATCTATTTATACTTGAACGTGATATAAACAAGAAGGAAAATTGAATTAAAACGAAGTTGACACAAAATTTCATATGTCCGAAAAGTGTCATTTAATTAATGTCAAAATGATATAGCACAATAAGTATAGATATAAAGTATTACAATAATAAAACAATATTCGAGGAGCGTGAAAACGGTATTGTTAAGATTATTATGCAATCAGTAAATTTTATTATTTATAATATTACTAAAATCTGTGTACACCCCTTATAAGGTATTTTAAAATAAAATAAAATACAAAAGCCAGAATTTTAACACTAAAATAGCATATTTATGATTGCGATAGTCATTTTCACTATGATACAAAAGCAGATGTCAAATTATTTTTGAAGTATAATATTTAAATATACAAGTGTAGACCTACTCAATAATTCTCTATAGCAAAATTTTCTTTTTTAATTTACGATAAATACTAAAAATAATTGCCATATAATATATTTATGCAGAAATTCAAAAACACTTTAACAAATAACGTCATAAAAGTAACACTATTTATAACATGGTATATAATTAAGTACAACAAATGGTTAAATAAAATATATAATAGCTTGTAAAAATACATAAAATAATTTTAATTATTAGTTTTTTATTTTAAAAAGACAAAACATGATTATAAAAAAAATTGTATTATTTTTGCATATTAATTTAACGTTTGGATTATCCTATAATGATATTCACTGTAATTTCATAAAGTATATGTTAAATTTTTTTAATCATAACAATCGATATTTAACTGAAATTAGTGAAAACATAGTAAACTATAATGTACATAATTTGAAAAAATATGGCAACATAATAAAATCCCATGGCGAAATTGTACTAGTAATGTTAGATGTTATAAGAGGAACTCATAAAAATTTATACTCTACTCAATTGACGTCTGTTAATTTATACTTAAATAATGTATCTAAGTATGTAGATTTCTATGCTAAAAATAATGACGGGATATTTGATATGTCAAATCAAACATCAAGTATTCTTAAAGGTTACATATTATTTCATAATTTTTATTTAGCACAGTTTGAGAGGACGATACAGAAGTATTGCAATAATGTGATATATGACGAAGTATTTATTTATTGTCCTGATTACAACGAATCAGGAGAATATACTCTCGAAAATTTTCAATATGTAGCAAATAAACTTAAAAATCGATTACTGCAAACTGATAAGCTACAAAATGACACGGATGATAACATAAATAATTTAAATCACAGTGAAGTGTATAAAGTTTTTAATAAAGCTTTTAAACGGTCTCAATACTGGGAATTCTTACCGAAAAATTTAATATTTTATGACTTTATGATGAAAAATCCCAAAATTTCTGAAAAAGATTTAATAAGAAGTTCTCAAGATAAGCAATATCCAATATTAATAAACGGACGGTATAAAAATGTTTTAGATATGATTCGATTTGCACCACTCACTATAAAATGTCATGATAAAAGTCATTTGAGACTTTTTGATATATTTAGATTTGTCAAATATACTTTTCATAGAAAAGAAATAGAAGTATTTCTTACATTACTACTAACAGCAACATTTCGTCCTATAGCTTTACTCGTAAATTTCTTTATCGCAGTTCTTGGGAAAATAACACACGAATACAACTTTAAACATAACCAACAAGAACTTTTAAAATACTACGAAAATATTATTTCTGTTGGTAAAAGAATAATTGATTGTTTTAACAATTTTGTCAATTTGAATCTTTTTGGTGACAATCCAAAACAAGTTTTTTCAGAATTCTTAAATAAAACTATTCACTGCTATAATATATTTATTCATAAATGGAATTATGATCTGGTGTATTTTTGCGATGATTTACAGAATGCATTAAAATTATTTTTATATAATAACAAATTTAGAATTAATATTCTTACTGAATATTTTACAAATGATATTAATGATAATCTAATGAACGCATTGGTTGTGAACCTGGAACAATCAGAAGAATTCGTAGCAGAATTAAAAAAACATAATAAATTCTTTAAAATCAACAAAAAGTCATTTAATTTTAATTGCACGTTAAATAATGAATACACGTATGTTCTCAATGGACATATAATAGGTACAATTAAGTATTTATCATATTTTATTAAATTATATATTAATTGGGTTGAATGTTTTAAAAAAATTTATTTTATTTTATTTAAAAATTAATTTATAATTTCATATTTGAAAAATATAAGAGACATTTTAAGATATTTCTGAAATTATTATTTTATTATTTAAAAATATAATTTTAAATAATTATTTGTCCCTTAGTATTGGATTATTTTAGTAGATATTGATGACCACTTATCAAAATAAATTAAATAATGAAATAAATTTAATTACTTACACATTATAAATAAATTAGATTTACATATTTTGGGCTTTAGAACATTGGAAGTTTTGCCTTTTATCAACTTTTAAATTATATCATATTAAGTAAAAATATCATTATTATTTATTTTTAGACACGCTATGTGGAACTAAAGATATTTACACA